AAAAAAAAAAAAAAGAAACGCAGGTGGTAGTGACTGGGGCCACCCACCGCTTGTGGATAACACCGCCTGCAGCCATGGGCACCACTCCCTGTGGGCGCCGTGCACGGTTCTAGTGACAGTGACTAGGCTCTGTAATCACGGCTTATCCCGTGACCACACGCAGCCTGTGTTGTCAGTGGTCTGTCCTTCCACGTCTATCAGATCCACGCTGTGCCTGGACCTTGGCCATCTGTCCTGGGACTAAGGATGTATGAGGAGAGGCAGGCCCTGCCTTCCAGGAGGCTGCTCTGTTGGGAAGGAGAGGAAGGAGACTCCCCAACAGGTAAGGGCTCACGGAATGCAAGGGCGTGGGCAGTCCTAGAGGGGACTGGGCTTCCTTCCTCCTGGAGCGTCAGGGGAAGGCTTCCTAAAAGAGGCGACCTTGGAGCTAAGGACAAGGAAGACTTGAACGTACAAAGGGCAGAAGAGCACACAAGTCAGGCATTCTGGGTGTTCAAGTCTGAGGAGTAAGGAGAGGTCTTCAGGGCGGTCAGAGCTTAGAAGGGGAGGGGAGGAGGGAGAGGTTGGCTGAGAGGGCCCAGATGCAGAGCCGGCCGTGGGGGCGGTCCTTTGGGCAGTGACTGACTCCGAGAGGGACACATGACTCAAGCTGGACCAATCAGAGAACTGCACGGCATACAGGTGCAGAACACAGGCCTGGGGGTCGTCTTGCCCACTCCAAGCAGCCAGCCAGTCAAAGAGCAAACCCGAACAAGGAAAGACAGCTTGGATGGTCCAGCGGTGACGGAACCAAGATCCCCTGGACTTCCCAGTCAGATAGAGATCACAGAGCCTCACAGACGAGCGGGACCCCCCCCAAAAAACCGTAATTATCTTCTGGAGGGCAAGCCCCTTATATATAATACAGGCTCCCCCTGCTAGGTCAGTGTTCTAGAAACCCATTGACATCAGTGTACCAGCGAGCGCTGTTGCGAGGGGCTGCGATTGGCTTCAGTGAATTTTTTGGAAATTCTTTCAACCTGTTTGCCCATTTCATGATGGGTGATTTACAAGCGCACCTGCCCGCACCACGCTGAGTGTTCAGCAGTTTCTGAACAAAAAGTAGCATCACCCCGTGCCCCACCCTCCCTCTTCACCGGATCTCTCCTTGAGCCACTTCTGTCTCCCCAAATTAAAAAAAAAAAAAAAAAACC